TTTTATTTTACAATCATTTATAATAATAAACAAATAAAGGAAAAATAAACTTAATTTATCAATTAATTTAAATCAAAATATATAAAGTAAAAAATAAAATACTAATTATTTACTAAGGAATTCGTGGAACTTTTGCAACATTACTATGCTTATCCGAAGTGTGAATATGTTTCAATAAATCTGGTTTACTTAAAAGATAATTTTAAAACTGTGTACAAATATGATCAGTATTCATTTTAATGTTTAACTCAGCTCCAATTAAATCGTGTTGCATTTTATTTCGATTAGTATCCTTTGTATATATGGTATGACTAACAATTGATTCACAAAATGAATTTGAAGTCGGAATAACAAAAACAAATTGAATTAATTTTTTTAAATTAAGTACCTTTTCACCAACAAGTAGATAAGACCATAAATGATTACTTGTAATAAATTGATCTCTTGTTTTATCTTTACGACATTTAACATCATATTCATCATCATCATCATCTTCGTCATTAGAATTATTTTCAACATCACAATCATCGCATAAAGTTTCTTCGTTACTTATTGTTGTTTTAGCTTATTTTAATTTTAATAAACCTTCATGTATCGAGATAAATGACTAGATTTGTTTATTCATTCCACCAAATTTTTGTTTCAAATAAATATATTTTGTTTTTATATGATTAAAATCATTATATAATCCATCTTGATCAATTTCTTCATTATCGACAAAACTAGAAGAATGTTGAATGTTGGCCTATTAAACTTTTGCAATATTTATTTCGTTGAAAATTGAAATGGATCGATAAAGTGCAGCATTACTATTATAATATGTTTCAATATAATTAATAAGTGTTCTAGTTAACAATCTAAATGATTCTTTTAAATTATTGACTTCAACTGGACATCGAATTTTTTTTAATAATTGATCAACTTTATGATCAAAAAAATCATCATGTACACGATTATTTAATTTATGAAGCGAAGTTGTAATAATATTATGAAGATTAACACCAGTTGTGCACTGTCGTTGTTATAATAAATTAGCTTATTGTCCTTCTGATAAAATATTCGCTAAAAAATAAAAAATACATTCACTTGTAAGAATGACAAGAATTAGAATATATATTTGTAAACAGAAATTACTACCTATGTTTGAAGCAAAGAATTCTAATAACAATTTAGGACATTCATTATTTTCCAAATTCAAAAAATAGCTTTTTACAACTGGATTAACAGCAGCACGACGTTCGATGAATTGTAAAATGCTGAGCCATCGTAACCGAATATATTTAAGAATAATCTAAATAAAAAATGTGTTTTAATCGAATATTCAAAAACTAGAATCGTATAGTCTATGCATGACAACTGACATAATATTGATTACTTTTTGTTCTCGTTCAAAAAACTCAAAATATTTAATTAATTCTTAAGAACGAACTGATGGTCGACAAAAATGAGCATAAATTTTGAGAAGAGCTGCTTGTGTGTCAAACAATAAATATTAGTTGTCATGCTTCACGGAGTTATGAAGTACGTGAGAATAACAATTTCTTAAACGAAAGAATACAAAACAAGTTATTTTGATAAATAACTTGAAAATTCTAGAAATCTTTACCTTTAGTTAAACGAGGTTGTAGTTTTTGAAATAAACAAGATACACTGTAGTTTTTATCAATATTTACGTTAGTATTATCAGATCCAGCTGAAACAAATAAACTTAGTTTTAGTTGATTAACTTCTAGTATATATTTTATATTCTCAAATAAAGCACCAACTGATTCATGTACTTGTTCAATAAATTCAAGGATGCGAGGTTTAACAGCAAACTTTGAGAAAAATTACGACAATTGGTAACATTTTCGCGGCTTCTGTATTAGAAACATCATAGCAAATTGAAAAAATGCAACATCTTGTAATTGTTGAACAACGAAATCTGTAAATGAAGGTGCAAGTACGTTGCAAGCTATTTCGAAAGCCTAAAGATTAAATATATAATATTGTATCAAAAATTTAATATATATAATATAGTTTTTATTTTGGTTCTACTACAAGATATATTTGTCACTATAGTAGAACTAGGAAAACATTTCTTTGCTACATCAATTGTACATGTTTGTGGAATATAGCTGTGAGAATGTTGAACAGCGTGGAAAACCATAGTGCCTTCAGCAGTACATAATTTATTAAATTGAGATGTCGTTATAGAAAACGATGAATTAATTGTTTTTGCTAAAAAAATACTGAGACTAAATTTTTAACAATAAAACCAATATTGATAGGCCTTACATTGATTAGCATTAGTCGATTTTGAACATTTTTTATGCTTTTTTTTGTGTGCATATGACGCTTAATATCACCGACTCCACTCTTTTGAATAGAAAATTGAACATTACATATAACACATACCGTTTTTGCTGGATCTGTTTTACATTCTCGTAAAAATATAGAAAATTTGAGATAAGACAACCATTCGTTTTTGAATTTCGTAATATAACGTTTGTTCACTTTTGATGACGATGATAATGCTCCTTTCACATATGAATCAGCTTTTGATGACACAGAAACAGTATTATTTACACGTAATGATTGAGGTTCTTTAGAAAATTTATCATTTGACAAAATTGATACATTAATAATCTCATTCTCATTTGAAGAAAACATTGAACATAAATATTATATATTTAATGATTCTTTTAACTTCAACAAATTATTTATGTGAAAGTAATTTATTTAATTGAATAATGATTTTAGTTTGAGAAAAAATACAAGTAGTGTATTATCTTATTGGATATTACATTGATTAATCACTTCAATGGGTCTCTTTTTTTTCTCTTGTTTATTTGTGTTGATTCAAAATGTCGCTAACCGTCATTTGATGGATCTAAGAATTAGACAATTTACCATTTACCAAAACTGATATGAAAGAATTATTAAATTTAGCTTTGAAAAACAGTTATTTTCAATTTAATGAAAAATTTTATAAACAAAAAATAGGTTTACCTATAGATGATACAATATCACCAATATTAGCCGACATGTATATGAATGAAAATCAAAAACAACATTTAGATGAAGTAAATATTCCAAATAGAATTTGGAGATATGTTGATGATATTCTAATTATTACAAAAATGAGTAAACAACAATTAGATAATTATGCCAAGGATTTGAATAAAATATGTGGAACAATTAAATTCACCTCAGAATTTGAGCAAAACAATGAATTAAATTATCTTGATACAACATTAACAAAACTTAAAATTAGATGGTTTCGAAAAGACACAGATACAGATAGATTATTGATTTGTGAATCAAGTAATGAAAAATCTATCACAACAAACATCGTCAGCCATATGAATACAAGAATTTAAGAAGCAACATAAGACGGTGAAGATCAAAAAAGAAGATTTAAAAAAATAAGAAACATATCATTAAAATCACATTAACCATTAAAAGAAATTGAAAAATTAAATAAACAAACATATGAAGAATTTAAATCAAATAAAAACAGCTCCAATAATAAAAATAATGATACATTCAGTCGAAATAAAAATAAAAATAGTGAAGAAATCAGTTGTAGTCTAACATTATCATATGTTCCTAGTATGAAGGTATTAAAAACAAGACACGAAAAGAAATTAAAAATTAAATTATATTTTTCCTATCCATACAAGCTACAATCACAATTTAATCAATCATTAATAGTTCCATCAAAATCTGTCATTTACCAAATTCCATGCTCATATAAACAAACATATGTTGGACAAACCAAAATTGGTATAGATAATCGTATGAAATAAATGATAAAAAAGATAACAGTAATTCAGAAATGATTAAACATTTTCTAGGAAAGAAATTTCAATGTTTATTTGATACCAATAATACCTTTATCATAGAAGACGGAAAAGACGTATGAAAGAAGCAATATATTCAATGATAAGTGAATCAATAAATACACATGATGAAATTAATGTAGCATGGATATCAATATTATATAGAACAAAACATTAAATTCAAAGAAAAATTCAATGAGGTAGAGAAAATTATAACAAGTACAAAAGAAATAAAATTTAACGAAAAACACGATGTTGATAGTGATATGGAAAAGAATTCAAACCTTATCTAACTATTACTATTACTGCTTTGTTTTCTGTATCATTATCAAAAGTATGACTGATATGAAAGAAAGAAAAAATTGTTTATATTTACATGTCATTTGTCTTAATTTTAATGTCTAATGAAGTATCTCATTAAGATACGAAACGTCACAATTTTTTTCGATTTAAATAAATTATTAATATCAAATTAAATTAAATTGAATTGAATTCAAAATAAAATAAAACAAGAGAATAAAATCATGTCAAATATTAGCTGTGTATAGAAAAACAAAAATAAAAAAAAATAAATGTATGTGATATTGAGATTATACCAGCTTTTTTCGAAGAAATCATTCAACCTCAGCAATCTCTCAATGAGTTATTAGTCGATCAAAAAAAAAAATACAGTTTCTAGGACTTACTCAGTTGATCACTGATACCCAGGCGGAAAAATCTGACTGTAAGATCTTATACAATTCCTCTAAGATGGTAGAAGAACTTATTGTAAGATCTTGTGTAAACATGCAAGATCATACGAAAATCGTATACGATCTTATAGAATTCTGTAAGATAATCTTAAAGCCACCATTTTTGATAAAATCTTACAGTACGATTCTTCTATGATCTTTATGTCGGATAGTATACGATCTTAAATGAATTACATACGATTTTTTGTAGCTGATTTGACCCATTTTTGATCTCTATATGCTTGATCTTTTAAAGAAAGTATTTGATGTGAGTAACGCCTATATTTATTTATTTATTCATAAAAATCACAAAAAATACACATATAAACTTGTGACACAAATAAAAACCGACAACTTGAGGAAAAAATTTTTGTTTGCATTTGATAGACTAAATGATCTAAATACGAAAAAAAATAAATAATTTAAATTCAAAAAACTTATATTAAATTCTTTATGAATATGATCTGAGATAAAAATAAATAAATAATTGATATTAAAAAACTTCCTCTTCAATTTATTTCAATCGTAAAACTAACCTATAATAAAAAAATATATAATTTAAATGAAGAAAAAAATTTATTCCTAAATTAAATTGTTTAGATTATTTTTAACTAAGTATCTACATATCTTTAATACATTGATTTTACTTTAATTAAAATAAAATAAAATAAAATAAAATAAGGTTAATTCACTTCTTTAAATATAAACAAAATAACGCTAACACATTAAATCACTTGTTTTAAAAAAGTTAACAATAATTTTATTAGGTTAAATTTGTTTTACTTAAAATAAATATAAAACAAATATAGTATCATTCAATTCGTTTTATTTTATATTTATTGTAAATATATAAATATAATCGCATTGAATTAATTTTAATCAACTGAAATAAATTAAAATATTAATAATAAGTGGAATTAATTTTATTTCATATTGTAATTTTATTCTATATTGACTTAAAATAGATAAAAAAATTAATAATACTAAAATAGATCAAAAAAATTAAAAAAATACATGGGACACTACAAAAGTTTCTTCGCTCGGCTCTCTTAAAAGACTTTATCAAGAACTAACTATACCGCTATACTGCCCAGAGATATTTAGAATTGTGTGCAAAATTTCAGACTTCTAAGTCTTATGGTTTGTTGTAGTCTATCATTTCGTTTGTACCAGTGATGTATGTCACATACTCGCATTTTGTGTATCAATTTTTAATCCTTTAATAAGTTGTGTTAGAAAAACAAAACATATCACATGATGCAGCGTGTGAAGTTCTACAATTTATTGGGTTGGTAAGAAATTTTTGTCGTTTTCTTTCGTAACTTCTTAGAACAGTCAAGAAAGTTCTAGAAGTTTCCATACTAAGGGTACATAAAGGATGTGTAAATATCTTTTGAACAACAATAAAACTATGGATATACATGCTGATCTCGAATTAGAAATGAAGATATCTCATAGAGAGCTCCGAATGCTTCTGCTTCATGAATTCCGTCTGGGTCGCAAAACAACAGAAGCAACAAGCAACATATGCCATACGATGGGCAAGAATGCGCTCTCCATGCGTACAGCACAATGTTGGTTCAATCACTTCAAGAACGATAACTTCGAACTCTATGATTTACCTGATATTGGAAGACCACTAGAGGTGGATGTGGATCTCTTAAAGGATCTTATCGAAGAAGATTCTAGATTGACTACACGATGTTTAGCAGAGCGTCTTGGGTGCTCTCATATTACAGTGGAGACACATCTGCACGAATTAGGCAAAACATGGAAATATGGAGTTTGGATACCACATGATTTGTCACTACATCAGCTCCAACACAGGGTTGATGCTTATATGAAATTAATGACGTCTCATCGTAACTACCAATGACTTTACAATCTTATTACCGGCGATGAAAAGTGGGTGTTGTATGTTAACCACCCGCGCAAGGGGCAGTGGCTGGGAGCTAGACAAAAAGGTGTAGCAACACCTAAAGATGATCTTAACCAAAAGAAGATTATGTTGAGCGTTTGGTGGGGAGTACGAGGGATTATTCATTGAAAACTTCTTCCAACTAATTACACTATCACTGCTGATCTCTATTATTAGCAATTAGACCGGGTTGCAACAAAACTTCAGGGGAAGCAGGATAGAATTTATTTTTTGCACGACAATGCCAAACGCCATATTGCAAAATCGACGCGTAAAAATTTTTGAAGCTCGGATAGGTTACGGTTCCACATCCATCTTATTCTCCAGACTTGGTTCCTACGGACTACCATTTGTTCCGTTCTCTTTCTAATCATTTGAAGGAGAAAAAGTTCGACGACGAAAACGACCTGGAAATGGACCTCCTGAACTTCTTTGGCCAAAAGTCGGAAGACTTCTATGAACGCGGGATTCTTTCTCTACCAGAGCGTTAGCGACAAGTCATAGATAGTAATGGAGCATACATTGTTGAAAGCTAGTTATATTCTTGATATTAAAAAATAAAAAGAAAATTTTCGAAAAAAAAACGACAAAAATTTCTTACCAACCCAATATTGTATTATCATATGATATGATATTTGGAGGTGCATATCACTCTGGACAAACTCAGAACAGCTTGAAGTCAGTACCAAACGATTTAGTTTTTAATTTTGCATCGAATGATATATAAAACTTTGAGAAATTAGGAATGGATAAATTCGACGTCTTATCCGGCCCTCTCCTTTCCTTGATTGGTCGTTGACCAATCAGTGAGTTCGTGATGGAGATTTTCGAACACGATATTCTGAAGCTATTTCTTTTCGATTTAGGCCTTTAATGGGACAAATCAACAGAAAAAATTCTTCTCTTTTGATCTACACAAGGTCAACATTGCTAATTTGTTCCGTTCGAGAGTTATAAGACTTTTCCTGAGACTCCGATGTCAGTTAATTGACCTATGATCACCCGAAAAAGCAACTAGACAGAGTTAATTTACCATGTTGAGTCGAATGGTGATGTATGGTTTTAGGTTCGAAATAATCTGACACTGTTATCTCAATATTTTTGAAATATCGACTCCTTCGTTCCGTTGAGACTGATTGCGAAATATCCGAAAGATTGGGACAACAGAGTCAGATTATGTCGAATCTAAAATCAAATATTATTTGTCTCAGCACGTTGAATTAATCCTATCTAACTGTTTTTACGAGTGATCACAGGCCAATTACATGAAATCATGTGATTTCAGGAAAAGTCTTTTAGCTTTGAAAAGGAATAAGTTAAGAATGTGCGATATTTCTTTAGTCTCATTAATAATACGCTGAAACAAATATCTCTCATCGAGACTTCTCTAAAAATTATTTTTATTACTAAAAAGAAAAAAATTGTCACACAAGATAAC